CTTAAAAGGAATTTTGACAATCTATCATACCATGCCCTTGGAGCTTGTTTTAACCCGTAGAGAGCTTTGTCAAGCTTATAGACATGGTCAGGGAAGTCATTATTCTCGAAGACAGGGGGTTGTTTAACAAAAACTTCTTCTTGTAATAGCCCATTCAAAAAAGCACTTTTGACATCCATCTGGTACAATGTGAACTCCATGTGAGATGCAAATGCTATAAGCAATCTGATTGCTTCTATTCTTGCCACGGGTGCAAAAGTTTCATCATAATCTATCCCTTCTTCTTGATTATATCCTTGAACAACCAACCTAGCTTTGTTTCTGATTATGGTACCATGTTCATCTAACTTGTTCCTAAACACCCATTTAGTTCCAATTATAGTTCTGTTTGAGGGCTTAGGTACTAGATGCCATACTTTACTCCTTTCAAATTGATGTAATTCTTCTTCCATGGCTATAATCTAATCTGCATCTTGAAGAGCTTCACTTATTTTCTTTGGTTCTACCATGGATAGGAATGCACTATGCGCGTAGTGATTCTTCATTCTTGATCGAGTGGTAATTCCTGAAGAAAGATCAGTGAGCAGGTTTTCCAATGGGTGTGATCCTTGGTATTTGTACTCTTTTAGGGTAGGAGTTGATCTTTCTTGTTCTTCATTAACATCTGGTTGTTTTTCATCTGTATCAACTCCTTCATCAGAATTTACTTGAGTTTCAGTTTCTTCTCTGTTTGTTGTGTCAGAGGAACCAGTTTCTTGGACCTGTTCCTGTTCAGAGACAGCATGTTCTTCAGCTGATGTGTTACTGACCAACACATCTTCATTTGACATAGTGTTGCTTTCATCGAAAATGACATGGACACTCTCTTCGACACACATAGTTCTTTTGTTGAGTATCCTATAGGCTTTGCTATGTGTAGAATATCCAAGAAAAATTCCATTGTCACTTCTAGCATCAAATTTTCCAAGCAGATTTTTTCCATTGTTATGAATGAAGCACTTGCATCCAAACACTCTAAGATGAGAGATGTTGGGCTTTCTCCCTTTTAATAATTCATATGGAGTTTTTTCTAACAAGGGTCTGGTCATGCAACGATTTATGGTGTAGCAAGCAGTGTTTATTGCTTCTGCCCAGAATTGGTTTGCAATTTTGCTTGCGGTCATCATAGTTCTAGCCATTTCTTGAAGAGTTCTGTTCTTTCTTTCTACCACACCGTTTTGCTGAGGGGTTCTGGGGGCAGAGAAGTTATGATCAACCCCATGATAGTCACAATATTGGGAAAACTTTGAATTTTCAAATTCAGTTCCATGATCTGATCTGATTGCCTTTAATTGTTTCCCATATTTTCTTTGAATTTTTCTCATTAGTGAACAAAAAACTTTAAATGCATCATCTTTTGCAGCAAGGAATAGTGTCCAGGTATACCTAGTGTAATCATCCACTAAGACAAACACATATCTTTTCCCCCCTCTACTTTGAACCCTCATTGGTCCACATAAGTCCATGTGAATTAGTTCTAAGGAACAAGTTGAGCTTATCATCTGTTTGGACTTAAATGATGATTTTATCTGTTTCCCTAGAGTACATGCTTCACAAACCTTATCCTCCTTGAATTTGTTTTTAGGCAGTCCTATAACTAAATCCTTGGTGATAAGTTTGTTTAATTGAACTTGGCTAGCATGACCCAACCGTTTATGCCACAACAAAGGATCTTTTTCCAACACGCTTAAACACACTAGATTTGTGTCAGAGATAGTTGAGGTGTCTACAGTGTAGACATGTTTATCTCTTTTTCCCGTTAACACTAATTTTTGTGTGTTTAGATTGATTACTTCAACACCAGTGGATCGAAAGATTACCTTGTTACCTTTATCACACAACTGAGATATGCTGAGTAAATTGCGTCTAAGTCCTTCCACATAGTATACTTTATCAATTAAATGTTCATCAGTTCTTCCAATCTTCCCACAACCTTTGATTTGACCCTTTTTTCCACCACCAAAAGCAACCATACCTCCTTTTCCTTCTTCTAGTGAGAGAAAAATGTCTTATTCCCTGTCATGTGTCTTGAGCAAGCACTGTCCATGTACCACTGCTGCTTGCTTTCTCTCACTTCTTCCTCAGTTTCTTCAGAATCTGATTCAGGTTCAGCATCTGATTCTTCTATCGCCATCAAGGCAAGGTCTTCAACATCTTCATACATGTCCGAGGAACCTGTTCCCCAGGCTGCATACATTGCTTGTTCCTTTTCTTTGGTTTTCTTTTTGTTGAGGAGTTCCTTCCTTTCTTTTTCAGCTTTTTCCTTTTTCCATTTTAATTCCCACATTGGGCAGTCCTTTATTTGATGATCTATCTTACCACACTTAAAACAACCTCCATTTTGTGATCGTTCATAATTTTTTTCTTTCAAGGGTGGTGATTTTTTGGTAGAGTTTAATCCCCTTTTAAAGAGTTTCTTGAAGTTCCTACTTATCAAAGCTAGATCATCGTCATCTATGTCTGATTCATCACTTTCAGTTGCTTTAAGATCAAGAACTTTTTCTTTAATCCCTTCACCTCTTTTGTCTACATTCATCTCATAGGTCTTGAGATTTCCAACTAATTCATCCAAAGACATAGTAGTTAGGTCCTTAGCTTCTCTAATGACAGTGACTTTGATTTCCCACGACCTAGGCAAAATCCAAAGTACTTTGTCAACCTGTTCCTCAGTGGTATACACTTTGCCTAATGAGATTAGTTCGTTTACCACAGTGGTGAATCTGGTGATCATATCTTGAAGAGATTTTCCGGATTTCATCTTAAAGGCTTCATATTCTGAACACAAACTAGCAATCCTGAATTTTCGGACTTGAGTTGTACCTTCATGAGCGTTTTGTAAGGTATCCCATATTTGTTTAGCAGAGGTACAACTTGAGATACAGTTAAATTCATCAGGTCCTAATCCACACACAAGAATACACTTAGCTTTTGCATTTTTTCCTAGCATCTTATAATCTGCTTCATTATATGTATCTGTGGGTTTAGGTATTTTATTTCCTTCACTATCAGTGGTGGTAGGAATTAGTGGTCCCTTGGTAATTCTTACCCATAATTCGTAGTCTTCAGCTTGAATGAAGTCTTCCATCCTTGCCTTCCACCACGAGTAGTATTATCCATTAAATAGTGGAGGTCTGTTGATGTGTTGCCCCTTACCGTGTCCGAGTGGAGGTGCAGAACTCATGTTGATCTTATCTTGAGTTGTTAGACTCTCTAAAGATAACCTTGCTCTGATACCACTTGTTGGAATTCTACCCTCCTGAATTCTTCAAAGGAACACGTATTTACTACTTGTTTGTGTTTAACAGTAATTAATTTGAACAGTGCTTTGTATTAATTGTAAATTTCAAGTAATACAAAGATTACAACTCTTTAGCTCTTAAGGAATTATAAACTCTAACTCCTTCTAATCAAGACAAAAAACTACTCCCTAGTTTTCTATCTTTTCAATGTTTTTCAAGTACTATAACTTGTCAAGCAAATCTACTACCTAGATTGTAAACAAAACTCTTAAATACAATCGTACAACTTTAACACTCAACTTGCAGCACTCAAAAGATTTTAACAAAACTCTCTCAACCCTCTTGATCGTGTTTTGAAGTTCTCTCTTTGTAGGTGCGTAAGTTTTTCTGATCAAAATAGCTCTCTATTTATAAACCAGAAATTCAGTCAATCCTTGTACAAATCAACTTGTATTTGTCTTCTACAAATCCTTGTTGACTTCTACTAACTCTTTTTCTCGAAACCTTATTGTACTCAAATTTGTTTTTAATAGTTTTCCTTAACAAAGTAAACTACTATAAACAAAAACGTACATATAAGTTTCCATATATAACACATACGCCACCACTTGCATACCTGCTGCAATATTTCACTGGAACATGTTGTACTACCTGTTCAATTCACTTTTGCCATATTAAAAATCTCAAGATTTAACACATAGATTACTAGAAATGTAATTGTTAATAATAGAAAAAAATATATGGTTTCAAATTTTTGGTATCACGACTTTAGGACTAATAATATATAATTAAATTTTATGGAAAAATATTAAATGACGTTAACATATCTAAGTTAAAATTGTAAGTATGGTAATTTTTAATGTGTTAACGGTTTATTGATAAGAAAATTAAATAATCTACCCCACAACAATTAACACTTATATAAAATTTTAATTCGTTCACCAACTATTTATTTGATAACTAAATAATCAATTTTGCGTTTAACTTATCAGTTACAGTTTGATTTTGAACACCCCTATATGATACATAACTAATATTTGTTTGCTAAGTAATTGGTGAAGGAGCAATTTATTTGTCAATTCTAAAAATTTAGAATAATTGTAATTTGAAATTTTTTTTAGATATGTTGTAATTAGTACCCAAATTGTTGAGCTTTATTACTTTATACCTATTATATTTACCTCTCTTGTTTATTTTTTTTATAGCAGAATTTTTAATTAAATTATATTTATATTATTAATATAAATATTGTAAATTGTAATGGGGACAAATTTGGCTAAACACTGTGGTTTTGATCAAGCGAGTCAGCAGATAGTTATCTGGGCTCATTTTTTTTGTCAACATGTAGCCCAAGGCCCAAATATTCAACAACTAGGGTTTCATCCGAATCTGTGCTTACTTATATAATGGATGCAAATCTACATTTTATATCCCTGTGAAAATCTTCTAAGAGCGTTTGTTCTTTTGTTTGTTTCTTCCTTATTTTTACTTCAATTCAATTTTTGTTTGTGAAACATTGCCTTCCGAGGCGTTGCGTGCATTGATATAATGATATTCAATGTACGTGTCAAGGGAAGCATAAATTGAATTTAATACCAACTATTTTATATCTTATATGTGGTGAACTGATTTTCAGATGGTTTACTCAATTGTTGGATTGTAACATGTTAGATCTATTCAACTTTTATTTTCTAAATTCTTTTGAATGTCATTTTGGTATGTGTTGCTTCTTATGGTGAACTCTCTTTGTAATTGAGGGATGTTCAAGTTTCCGAAGCATAAATTAACTTGTCAGCATTAAACAGCATGGTGCATTTTCGATTGCATCATGTTACCTGTCTCCTGTTACATTGAGATGCTTCTTTTCGTTAAATTCTTCTAATGTTAATTAGATTAAATAATTTACGACATGAGTTATGGTGTACGGAAGAAAAGTGATTTATTCTTAATAAAAAAAATTTTGTTTGTGTAGAAAAAGTTTGACTTTTGAATGAGCCGACATTGAACGGAATCATTTTTTTTTAGATAAAACAACGTTTATTATCTCCGGTTATTATTCATATTTTTAGAAAATAACAAATTATAATTACCATTACATCTACCTCTCTTCACAAAGGATTACATTTTAAATTTTGAGAGAAATTAGTCTTTAGAGTTTGATGAAATTTCAATCCTCTGGGATAAATATGTAATATTTTAGATTATATTTACAATCTAAATTAGATAATTAATTTTAAAAGGAATTTTACAAAAAAATAAATTAAATTCAAAATAACTAAAATAATTGAAGTCCAAAAAGGGGACTTAGTTTTCACTTTCTTCAAATTTACCTTTTTAACGGGTTTTTATACTTTAATGCTCACTCTATTTCATTTTATGTGTTATTAATACAAAAAAAAATTAACTTCAATTTGATGTTTACATTAAACTAATTTAATTTTTATTATTAGGTGATTCAATGAAGTAAGGTATTTGTGAAATAATTAAAATTAAGTAAAATGAACTATAAATTTAAATATATGATTTATATTTGTGGATTGATGTAAACAATTGGTGCAAATAAGTTTTAGCCATACTAATTAATTTGACACAACTTGTCTTCTTTTAAGTTGATTCACCTAAAAATAAATATTAATATGGTGATTTTATCATTTCAATCCTATTAATTATGAAGTAGATAAATTAAAAATTAAAATTTTTAAAAAATGATTATTTTTTTCAAAATAAATTAATTAAAGATATAATTGGTAAAAAAATTATTATTTTTTAATTTGTCAAAATAAACAAATAATTAAAGAACACTAAAAAAATGCAAACAAATAATTAAGATCAAAGAGAGTATAATTTTAAAAAGAGATTCAAAGTTTGGTTTTTATTTGATTACAATCACTTTTTCCCTAGATAAATTAAACAAATATATCACATAATGAGAATATTAATTATTTCTACTTCTATGAGAGTTATTGAGGAGAACAAACGATAACACTGCAAATCAGGGGCGGAGCCTGCTAATGTTGGTCAGGTAAACTTGTTTGGTCGCAAAATTATACTCGAAATATAGATAAATATTGTTTATAATCCGTATATTTAATAAATTAAATACGCTTATCCATAATATAAATTGTTGGTCTGGCGGTAAACATACTAGTTTAAGATATTGAGGTTGCCGGTTTGAACCTCTTAATTGTGTTTTCTAACACTATTTTTGGGGCTAATGTAGGTCTTTTGAGGTCAGTGATTCAATAGGCCTTAGCTGGCTTTTAACACAATATTTTCAAAAAAAGAAATAGTCGCCTCATATCTTTTTTATTTTTCTAGCATTATATTTGACCTAATAATTAAGATTTTTTAAAATATATTTTCGATCTATATTAAGTGAATTATTAGGTATAATAAACTCTTAAGAAATTATTTCAAAAATTAAAATTAAAGATCACTATCCACTATTATATATTTTTTTAATTATTTATAAATTATTTTTTAAGAAAACGTGAAATAGTTAAGAATGTTATTAAAAGAAAAGGTAAATATGAAGAAAGTTTCAATATTTTCTTGAACTTTAAAATATTCAGTTATTTTGAATCACAAAAAAGTCAAAACAGTCACTTAATATGAACTAGAGGGAGTAATATTCAACTAGTAGCTAAAATTGTTTATGTTCACTATTGATAGTTTTATAATTTTAAGTTTTCGTATAAAAAAAAGTTTTCATATTATTTAGTAACTTAGTGACATGTAATTCAATTTGTAAATTTGGATGCACTCACTCATGAGCAAATATAAATATTTTGTGCACCTACATTACTAAAAAAAAGATTATCGACTTTTTTAAAATTTAAACAACTTTGATAAAAAATTTAACTCGCCGTAATTACAAACGAATGGTTGTACAATTGATGAATAAAGATAGTAAACATTAGAATAGCATGTAAATAATTTTGAATAAAAATTATTACACAAAATCTATATGAGCTTTCAAATATTTGTTTTATATTGATAGGAAGTAACAAATATACACTTTATCACTTATTATAGTACTTTTGAATATTTTATTTTTTATTTAAAATATAAAATCAATCTATTTAAATTAGATTAAAAGCTAATCACATTAGTTCTTGAAAAGTGTAATATAATACTAATGGAATAATGCACAAGTACCCCTCAATCTATATTCAAAATCTCAGAGACATACTTATAGTATACTAACGTCCTATTACCATTCTGAAGTTATTTTATTAATAAATTTCTATTTTTTTCAATTTACATGACACTATCTTGTGAGCCGAACACTGGTTAACTTTTTTTTCATTCTAGTGTCACATAAGTCGAAAATGGAAGAAAATTACTTATAAATAAGTTCAGGGGAATAATGAGATCTTAGTATAGTGTAAGTGTGTTTCTAGAATTTCAGACAAAAATTGAGTGGTACTTGTGCATTTTCCCTAATACTAATCAAAATACTAATCAAAAAGAACATTCGGAAGTCTCAAAATCCCCATCACAGTATATACTCAATGCAATGCTCACAACCTTAATTTTACCACCCATAATTTGTTAATACTTTACGTTCAATAATTAATTATCTATTGTTGACTTAACTAACTTTATAAGAAACATATTATGAGTAATACTATTATTTTATTTTTTTTGACTTTTTTAAATTTAATATTTTGAATAAATCTTTTAAATGATAAATAGTATTTAAAAATAAGAATAAAATAAACACAAAAGTTAATTATATCTTGATTTTTTAAACTAGAAAAATATTAATAATTATTTTTAATTTACTAGACAATTATTAATTGACTGAGGGAGTAAAATGATTAACACACTCTTAACTTATTTATAAAAGTAAAATTGTAAAACGATTTTTTTATAAAAACTAAAATGAACAAGTGGTGGTAATGACATAAGTGAAAATTAAGAGTTTGTTTTAAGGAACATATTATAAATAACAAAATGACACTCTAAGCTAGTGTTTAATCGTAGATTTTTAACTATTCTTGGTAAATATTATTTCGGTGAAAATCTTAGCGAAATTCATCACGTGTTTGTCCATAGTATTTTGAGAAACATATTTCAATCTTTTAGAAAAATATGATTTATACCCATAAATTTTAAAAACTATCAAAACTAGCCAAAAGTTTGTACTATAAGTCAATTAGATTTTTCATTGCAATAAATAACAAGTAGTGTTCATGACACTCGAGCAATGTGATAGTTTGGACTGAGTGCAACAAACATTATTTCATACATTGTGAAGTAGACAAAGCACATGCATTTGTTATCCCGAGCTAATTGTTCATTCTTTTCATCAATAACCATATCATCACTTTCATATTCACTAAATTTCATTACTATTTGGGTGTTCACTTAAAAAAATATGTAATACAACGCAAACAACTATCATAGAGGGTGTTTTTGTAAAAGATAAAAATTAAGTGTAAAAAATTCAATTTTTGAAAGATCCAAAATAATGAGATTTGATCTAAATACTAAAAAAAACTAGTATTTGGAAATTTGAAATATTTGCTAAATAATGATAAATTGTATGGACAAACACTGTTTGCCATTTCTCCCCCAAATATTATTTGAAAAATTATGGCCAAACGTGTCCTAAATTGTATGTGTTTGTATTAATTAACTAGTTTTCAAGGTTTATAGAAGTTTGGGACCAATTTATCATGGAAAAATTGTACATGATAGCAAACATTTAAATCAAAATACATCCTATAGCTACTATTTGAAACATTTGTATTCCGTAGCAAATTTTGCACGATTTTTGCCATTTGGTTTGGACCCACTCATCAAGCGGAAGATTCATTTTATCCAAATTCATTCTCTATCTTTTCTCTCCTATTTTCTTTCGGTTATCCCTCAAATTTCTCCCCAAATCAATTATTCTTAATTGGTTGTGGCCCACCCTCTATTTTTATACAAATCTATTAGCTATCTTTACTCTCCCAATTTCTTTCAATTTTTTCTAAATCTCTCCCCAAATCCGATTTTTCTTAAAAATTATATATACGTATACAAAACCCAAATCTATAAAAATTTGTTTGTGTTTTTATAAAGAGAGAAAATTGTATAAATACATATATTTTTGTTTCCCTCTCTCCCCTCTCCCATATCTCGCTCGCCACTCTCCCTAATCTCGCTCACCACCCTCGCCTCTCTCGCTTATACAAATAAAAACAAAATGTATAAATTGTGTTTCTGTTTGTATAAAGCAAGAGAAAACTGTATATACACATTCAATACATATTTTTTTTGTCATATAAACTTATAATTATACAATAAAAATACTCCCCTCCCCAAATTTTTTCCTTTCTCTTTTTCTCGTTTTATACAAATTCAAATTGAATATAATTTCTCTCTTTCTCGTTTTATACAATTTGATTCAATTGTATATTCCCTGCGCAAATCTCTTTTATCTTTCTCTCTTTTCCATTTTATACAAATTAAAATTGTATATAATTGTTCTATATACTTATAATTATACAATTCATTTTATATACTTCGTTTTATATAATTTTCTGTCCAAGTCTCTTTCTCTTTCTCATTTTATACACTCCGTTTATACAATTCGTTTTAACTGTATATGTATATCGAATTATAAATTTATATGTTTGCTATGGAGTCAAATTATACAAATTTTGCAATAGCATACAAATATGAATTTTATATTTGTTATATGTGAAAATTGTCCATTTATCATATATGTTATAATAGAGGGCTGAGGCCCGTGCCTTGCATGGGTCCAACAGTGACCTATTTGTAGAAACCGTTGATTGAATAGTTGCATGCCCTGCAAAAGCGATAACATGCCCTGCAAAATCGATAACAACATTAG